TATATATATATATATATATATATATATATATATATATATATATATATGCCTATACTCTTAGTACCCAGGAAGCTAGGATAGGAGGATTCAAGTCTGTGGCCAGTATGTGATGCACAAAATTCTTTCTCAAAACACAGAAACAAAATCCCAACTTAAATCTTTCTATTTCCTTAAAGTCATGGATGTCAGGGCAACTTTTATAGTGAGCAGAGAAAAAGTAAATGCGAAACATAGCAAAAGTGTGACTGTTGCTTTGCCTTCATACATATGAAGTTCTCAGTATCATAGAGTGAAATGGGGTCAGGATGACTATCCTGAACAAGCTCTAAAAATAGCTACTTTTCAGAAGAGCCAAATGTTATAAATACACAAGCAATAAACAAATATTCCTGCTAGAATAAGCACAGTAATCACGATTTCTGAAGATTTCACACGGCATGGCATACCGCACACTACTCACAGGGGAGAGTTTCTGAATGAGGTCATGGGCAACATGGACGAGGTTCTTGTCTTCATGGAGACATTTCTGAAACTTTTTGCTTTCCTCGTCCTCTAGAAGATCAAAATCAATAGCAGCATCCAATAAGGCCTGAATTAAGCCCTTCCAGGACTTCAGGGCTGGGACCTGTGGTGCAACTGCAGCACTAATGCCTGTTCCAATCACCAGCACAAGTTCTCGAGGTTTTTTGGTTTTCAAACTTGGAAGCAGCTTCCTGAAAAGGAAAAGGCACAAGAGGATTGGAGCATCCAGCAGATGCAAAGACATTTGCTAAAGATGTAGCTGGCTCTCCCTACTCAACAGCTATAACTCTTGTTGTTTGCTTTGTTTTTGGATAGGGGGTCTTACTGTATAGTCTTAGCTGTCCCGAAACTCACTATGTAGACCAAGCTGGCCTCCAACTCACAGAGTTCTGCCTGCTTCTGCCTCCTCAATGATAGGATTAAAAGTGTGCGCTTCAAAACTTTTAGCTGTAAAGATGAGGATTCCAGTTTCTGACACTTCTCCCAAGTAGATTAAATGAAAGACCATAATGTTATTCAAGTTCTTGCTGGAAGACAAAGTAATAAACTATTTTAGGAATCTTGAAAAACAATCCTAAAGTCAACTTTCTCCTTCATAGTCCTCTCCAGCTAAGAAAACCACTAATATTACAACAGATTCAAATTTATTACAACTGCCAACTAAATTATTCTTGAAGCCAATAGTAATTCCAAAAGGATGCTTGATTTGTTTTCAAAATGAAAATATTTTCATACAAATTAAGTTGATATTATTTGTTGAAAAATGTGAAACAACAATAAAAAAAACTGATGCCAAATTTTGTAAGGAAAGATAAAACTCAGCATGAAAGCCAAATCTGGAGACAATCTGAGCATGGCTTTGTTCTAGATATCACTGGGGAACAAAAAGTGCTCAGCAGGCGTCTGAGAATATGAGAGCCTCATGTTTTGTTTTTTTTTTTTGTCACAACAAAACAGCCCTTTCTCAGGGAAAAGAAGAGAGTCCTGTCGTGAGACAGCATGAAGACAAGCATGCTTCAGCTCTCCTTTCCCTCTCACTCTCTGAGTACATTAAAATCATTACTTGCCTTACCCCCTTTTCCAAATACTACAATGAACAGAAACATGATCAGCATTTAGACAAACCCAAGAAAGAGAAAACACTTTGAAGCCTTGGGAAACAACCCCTAGAAGTGCCTGTCCTGCTCTCATCTCCTACAGTCAATCATTTAATAAGTAGGAAAACCTATGAACACGAAGGAATGGGACCATACATACAGTAGTTCGTCTACTGGGAAAAAAAAACTGTTAACAGCTACTGGAAGCACATAATGGAGTGTGTCTTAAAAAGAGGAATCAAGATGATGAATGAAAGTTGAATGTGATAGCCAAAGTCTATAATCCCAGAATTTGAGAGGTAAAGACAGGAGGATTAGAAATTTAACACAAGCTACAGGAAAACCTGTCTTGAAAAAAAAAAGAAAAAAGTGAATGGCACATAAATACACATACAAATATAAAACACCCATAAAATAAAATATTCTTTATTATTATATAAAATAAAATACTTTCACAAAAGGAATTTCAGTAAAACAAACAAAAATTATGCTTTATGATCCCTACCTAAACCACTAAATAATTATTAAGAAACCCAAACATATATTTATTTTGTGTTTCTGTGTGTGTGGGTACATGCCACAGAGCACATGTGGAGATCAGAGGATACCCTTTGGGAGTTGTTTTGCTCTTTTCACCATGTTGATGCCAGGGACTAAACCTCAGGTCATCAGGCTTAGCACTTTCTGCAGAGCCATTATGATGGCCCTAACAGTTATTTTTAAAGAAAGTAGTAAGGCAAGATAAAAAGGGAAAATCAAGGACACATGGCAAGAGAAAAAAGCCTTTCACTTAAGAATCTGGCTGGGTATCAGAAACTTGGTCACAAATGACAAAGACAAGATTCCCTATAGACACAATATTCTTTCTAAGAGATATGTCAAACAAGGATGTTAAAAACAACAAATGAACTACACACCTACTTAAGATTACAGGGTTTGTAATCTTGACTTTAGATAGTAACAATATGCCTCCTCCACACCTAAATCTAGACAAAACACCTCAAAAACTACCTTACAAGTTCATTTATAAAAGGAAGTTCAGGGGGCTGGAGAGATGGCTCAGCTGTTAGGAGCAGTGGCTCTTCTTCCAAAAGACCGTGGTTCAATTCCTAGCACCGACAAGGCAGCTCACAATTGTCTGCAACTCCACTTGCAGAGGATCTATCATCCTTGTACAAACATACATGCAGGCAAAACACCACTGCATATAAAAATAAACAAATCTTTAAAAGGAAGTTCAATAAAAGAAGAAAAGATCAGTTAATTTTTAATTGAATATACATTCAATTAAATATATACATACATATGTTTGTGAATGTGTGTGTATGCTTGTGCTTTTAAGACAGAGTCTCAGGTAGCTTGGGAGTCCATTGAACTCCTGATCCTCCTGCCTCCATTATCACAAGTGTGGGAGCTATGGACATACCACCTCACTCAGCTCAAAGTTTATTAATATTTAAGCTTTATGTAATCTTTAGTCCCTATTGTCAATTATACTCCAAGAAATATAACATAAACAGCTAAAGAATTGTATGTATAGCCATTATAAAGATATCTAGCACAATTCTCAAGGAGCCTGCACTGAATTGAGTACTGTCCTTTCCCTAAGCAGCGCCTGGCCCATAAGTCTCCATACTAAATTAAAACTGTGTGCCATCCCTTGTCCTAATAAACTCAACAGCTCTGACTGTCCTAGAATTCTCTCTGTAGCTTTATTGGTATGGCAGTTTCAAAAGTTTAAGTCCTCAGGCTACTGGTAGCAGTGCTGGGCTGTAGCCTCCTGCCACAGCACATATAAAAGAGTGGGAAAGGACAAAACGACAGCAGAGCACGGACATCAGAAGGCAACATAATTTTAGAATTTCCAGAACAAAACCCACTTTCCCATGTAGAGAAGCTCAGGCACATGTTCAGGTGGGTAGGCAGGTGTCACTAAAACTCAGCTACAAGTCTGTCTGCACAAAGTCAGCCAGAGGACTCTGCCTTTGAGAACATTGTGCACAGTGCCAGGTAGAAGGGATTAAGGAAGAATCTCTGTATGAAAGCTAAGACTTTTCCAACCATCTCCCTTGGGGCAAGGCTCCCAGATAGTAGTATTTTTTCTGAATCCAGTCTCCATGCATTGAAGAGATGGGAGGATTTCTCTTTGGGAAAATGATCATTATGGCAGAAAAGACCCATAGCTTTAAACAAGTTAAAGGTCAACTGCTGAACTTGCTCCAGACTTAATATTCAGAGCAAAATTCAACAGCATATTGTGATGATGAATATTGGTTGCCAACTTGACAGAATCTGGAATCAACTAAGAGAAAAGCCCCTGGGCACATCTGTAAGGAATCTTCCTGATCGGGTTATTTAAAGTGGAAAGACCTACCCTAAATGTTGGTGACACCTTCTGGTGGCAACCAGATAAAAAAGGAGGTCACATTGCCTTCCCACTCTGCTGACAAGTTTATCTATTCTGTTGCTGTTGTACTTCTTCACTGACATCAGAACTCATCCCCTTCTGCCTTCCAATGTGGAGACCCATGGTCTTCCCTCAGGCCTTCACCAGCAGACTGGAACTACTGAGAAGCTACTGGGTTGTTAGCTTCTCCAATGTGAAGATAACCACTGTTGGATTACCCAGATTACACCATGTATGCTAATCTAATATATCCCCCTGTACAAACATACATACAAAATCAGTTCTGTTCTAGAAAACCCTGACTAGTATCCATAGACTCCTAACTGTTTCTCAGTAAATTAAAACATGAGCAGACAAACTCTGGTCACTTTATTTGCAAAAGGCCCATATGATGACAAGGACATACAAACAAGCTAGCAGGTAGAGAGGAATTACTCAGGAGGTTAAGGCACGAAGACCATAATTGTAATCCAGTCTTCAAAAACCAAATATAGCAACAACAAAATTAAAAAAAAAAATTAAAATGTAACAAAAAATTAAAAATCCATAAGAAAAACCAAGAAAACCTTTAAGAAAGCAAAACTGAAACAGACAAAAAACAGCAATAACATCAACAGAGCTAGAAACAGAGGTACATGCTTGTAATTCAAGTACTCAGGAGACTGATGCAAGAGGACAGAGCTAGAGTTCAGGATGGGTCACATACAAAGATCTTGTCACAACAAACAGTGAGAGATGGGGAATGGGGAGAGGGAGAGGAAGAAAGAAAAGAGGAACACACTAATGGCAGAAGATTCAACAATAAGAGTTATGCAAAGACAGAGAAATGTTTGATGGAAATTTAAAATCAGGTCCATACAAGACAATTACTTCAAAATGAAGTTATTAGGAAGTAGCTTGAAGGTGCCATAGTATTTAGTTTCACAAGAAGATATGGTATTATACAATTTTTTTATGTTACTGGGAATAATGTGATTTTTTTAAAATAAGATTCTAGTGAGCAAAGGCCAAAGAGTTCACACAAAACAAAAATTTGTGTTTTGATTTGGGTCTGGAACACCCTCTGGCAAGGTTCAAGTACAGGTTTTGTTCCCAATGCAGCAGTGTTCAGGGATGGGGTTTTGCAAGGTGACCAGATACAGGGTTCTTACCTTATCAAAGGTTAATCCACTGATGGGTTCATAATGGGAGAGCATTACTGAGATTGGTAGAGACTGAGTCACAGGGCCTACTTGGAGGTAATCACAAAGATGGGACCTGAAAGAATGGTTTCTGGTTTCTGGACCCTTCTTCCCTGGCTCTGATTCCCAGCAGACAAAAGGTGGGCAACTGTTCTACATATCCTTGAATGACATTCTGCCTCACAATACTCTAAAAGCAATGGAGCCAATAGACCATAAACAAAAATCTCTCTGGAACTGTGGCCAAATCACCATTTCCTCTTTAAAGCTGATTTCTAAAACAACTGCTAATCAGAACAGGGTCAATCTTGGTAAGAATACTTTTCTCTGCTACCAGAGAAATGAGAGGTACTCTCAAAATTCTAAGAAAAAACATTCTATTCTCAACTATACCAGTAAGTAAATGTAAGCACATGATAAAGACAGTAGTTTCTCCAAAAATTATTTTCCTATGTATTCTTACTAAGGAAGGTACCTGAGAACATGCTTTAAGCAACATGGAATACATTAAAATAAAAAGCAGGAGATTAAGGAGATAACTCCAGCATGGTTGAGTCCAGAGGTAAGAATCCATAAAATCTATTTAACCACTGAGTTTCTAAACATTCTCCAATATATGATAAATTCTGTCAGTGTTTAAAAAGGAAACAACACAAAACAAAAAACCCAAGACAACTTTTAGTAATATGAAGGTTAAAAAAGAAACATAAAAGGAAATATTATAACACTTTAGGTGTGGCTACTAATACTATTTATGGTTTGTTTTGGTTTTCAAGACAGGGTCTCATTATGCAGGTCTGGCTGTCCTGGAACTTGCTATGTAGACCAGGCTGGCCTCAAACTCAGAGGGATCTGCCTGCCTCTGCCTCTGTCTCCTGAGTGCTGGGCTTATTAATACTACTTATAAAGACACAGTTCTGTAAATACTGAGAACTGGTTGATCAAATACGGAGACAGACATATGGGAAGATAAGGTTCGTGAAGACTCTCGGGTAGCAGCAA